TATGACGGCCGTGGCCAGGGGGGCTTTTTATCAGGTTCGCCTGATACGCCAGTTGCGCCCCTTTCTGGATCGGGACTCCTTGTGCACAGTCACTCATGCCTTGGTTACGTCACGCCTGGACTACTGTAACGCTCTCTACATGGGGCTCCCCCTGAGGAGCACCCGGAGGCTCCAGCTGGTGCAGAATGCGGCTGCGCGGGTGATTATGGGAGCGACGTGGCGCTCCCACGTAACACCTCTCCTGCGCGAGCTGCATTGGCTCCCGGTGGTCTTCCGGGTGCGCTTTAAGGTGTTGGTTCTCATCTTTAAAGCGCTCCATGGCTTAGGGCCAGGGTATTTGCGAGACCGCCTGCTGCTACCGATAACCTCCCACCGGCCAATACGCTCTCACAGAGAGGGCCTCCTCGGGGTGCCGTCGGTCAGGCAATGTCGGCTGGCGGCCCCCAGGGGGCGAGCCTTCTCTGTGGGGGCACCCGCCCTGTGGAATGAGCTGCCTCCTGGAATACGATTGATCCCGGACCTCCGGACCTTCCGTAAAGCCCTGAAGACGTTTTTATTTCATCAAGCCGGCCTAGCCTAAATGGTTTTTAATTGGGATTTTAAATTTTATGGATTTGGGGTTTTAAATTTGGGTAGCCAATGATTTAATTCTTTTAATTATCTTAACTTTTGCATTTGTATGTTTTTTAATCTTGGCTGTTCACCGCCCTGAGTCCCTTCCGGGAGAAGGGCGGTATACAAATTAAATTAATAAATAAATAAATAAATAAATGATCCCTTGGCTGTGGCACCAAGGGATCATTGACATATACGGAAGATCCATGAGACAAAGTTGCCATCTCATCCCATAATCCTTTTAAATGGAGGGAGTTCATAATTTTGGGTCTAGTTATTGATTATGCATGGACCTCAGCCTTTAAAAATTGATATTTATATGAAGCTCTCTTCATGTCAATATCATCAGGTTGAAGTCATACTCATGTGTAATGTGTAATGTGTAATGTAATGTAAAAGTCATGTGTAACGCTTATAACTTCTCAGCATAAGCTCACTTGATGTTCATCAGGACTGGACTCGAGGTGTATGTATGGTTTTATACAGACCCATCAGAGCAGGATGGACCTGGCAAATTTAAGAGGCCCAGATTCAGAAACACGGTTCTATGAATCTCTCATAGTCTTTTTTTCATTTCAAATTTGGTAAATTTAAGGGGTTCAAGGATGACCAGAGTGGGTCTGGGGGGTAACCCACCAGGGTCAGTGCCGGGTCCGGCGGGGGCTGCGGCATTAGGGTTGCAGGGTCAGATACTAGGGAGGGGGCTAGAACTCGATCTAGTGAGGGCTGTTTAATTAGCACTGTGGGTGGGAGGGGCAGGTATGGTGGAAGCAGGGGACCATATCATGTTTCGGGAGTGCGCACTCGCTATCTTCGAGCAATTGCGCACTCCGGTCCCCAATGCTTTTCTCGTTTCCCAGGTAGCACAGAGACTCAGGGCCTGGGCCACCGGCTGATGTTGTGCAATGCCAGGTCCATGGTAAATAAAGCCCCCCTCATTCATGATCGTATTCAAGAGGGGGGAGCGGACCTGGCGGGTATCACGGAGACCTGGTTGGGTCTGGAAGGGGGGGTGCCCCTTGTTGAAATGTGCCCACCAGGTTTCCGGGCATTCCATCAGCTGAGAGCCCAGGGTAGGGGCGGGGTGGTGGTGGTTATCATTAAAGAAAGTCTATGTCCGAGGGAGACCACTGTACCTCAGATAGCCGGGTGTGAGTCCCTCCTCGTGAAGTGGGGCCGTGGGGTGCAGATGGGCCTCCTGATTACGTACTTGGCTCCCTGCTGCGTGGCAGCGGCCCTGCCTGGACTGCCTGACGTGATAGCCGGGGTGGTGGTGGATACCCCCAGGCTTATGGTTATGGAGGATTTCAACCTGCCATCGGTCAGTGAAATGTCTATGGCGGCTCGGGAATTCATGGCTTCCATGACGGCCTTGGACCTGACCCAGTTAGTTCATGACCCTACTCACATGGGGGGACACACTCTGGATCTGATTTTTGTCTCTGGTCAGTGGCAGAGTGATCTGGAAATAGGGGATTTAATCATTAAGCCCTAGTCATGGTCTGATCACTCTCTCCTTTGCATGGACTTTCAAACCGCTACCCCTCGCCACAGGGAGACGGAGCCAACTAGATGGTTCCGTCCCAGGCACCTGATGGACCCTAATAGGTTCCTGACAGAGCTTGGGCCATTCCCTGAGGCACTGGCTCACGGCGCGACTGAAGAACTGGTGGCCGCCTGGGATAGGGCGGCCGCTGGAGCTTTGGACCACATCGTGCCTTTGCAGCCTCTGACCCAGTGCCGATCTCAGCTGGCTCCCTGGTTCTCCGAGGAGCTGAGAGAGATGAAGTGCTGGAAAAGATGCCTGGAGAGCGATTGGAGGGCCAGCCGCTCCGAATCTGACCGAACACTGGTGAGGTCTCATATTAAGATCTCCGTTGTGGCGATAAAAGTGGCAAAATCTAATTATTTTTCTGCTCTTATCGGGTCTGCAGAGAACCGCCCAGCAGCCCTGTTTAGGGTGACCCGCTCCCTCCTTCAACTGGGAGCGAGGGAAGACCCCTTACAGGGCAGGGCTGAGGATTTTGTGCAATTCCTGCATGACAAAGTCACTCAGATTCGGGAAGGCTTGGACTCTGATTGGGTAGATTCAGATGGGGTGACGGAGGTGGGTCTTGAGATTGTTATCTGGGAGGGGTTTGACCCTGTGACTCCCAAGGATGTGGACAGGATTCTGGGTAGGCTTAGCACTGCCACATGTTTATTGGACCGTGTCCCTCCTGGTTGGTGCTGGCCTCCCGGGCAGTTACACGAAGCTGGCTCCAGGGGATTATTAATGCTTCTTTGAGTGACGGTTTCTTCCCTCCCTATTTGAAAGAGGCGGTGGTGAAGCCCCCCCTCAAGCCTTCCCTGGACCCGGCTATATTAGCAAACTATCGTCCAGTCTCCAACCTTTGCTTTGTTGCGAAGGTTGTTGAGAGTGTGGTGGCGCGACAACTTCCCCAGTACCTGGATGAAGCTGACTATCTAGACCCATTCCAGTCGGGCTTCAGGCCGGGGTACAGCACGGAAACGGCATTGGTCGCATTGGTTGATGATCTCTGGAGGGCTCGGGACAGGGGTTGTTCGTCTGTCCTGGTCCTATTAGACCTCTCAGCGGCTTTTGATACCATCGACCATGGTATCATGCTGCGACAATTGGAGGGGTTGGGAGTGGGGAGCACCGTGTTGCGGTGGTTTTCCTCCTTCCTCTCCGACCATATGCAGTTTGTGTTGGGACGGGGACAGAGGTCGACCTCGAGGCGCCTTGTTTGTGGGGTGCCGCAAGGGTCGGTCCTCTCACACCTTCTGTTCAACATTTATGTGAAGCCACTGGGCGAGATCATCTGTGATTTCGGGGTGAGGTTCCAACAGTACGCTGACGACACTCAACTGTACATCTCCACCCCGGACCATCCCAATGATGCCCTTGACGTGATGTCCCAGTGCCTAGATGCCGTGCGGATCTGGATGAGGAGGAACAGGCTCAGACTCAACCCTTCCAAGACTGAGTGGCTGTGGTTCCCGGCGTCCCGGTATAGTCAGCTGGCACCATCGCTGACTATTGGGGGTGAGATCTTGGCCCCTTCAGAGTGGGCTTGCAACTTGGGTGTTCTCCTTGATGGCCGGCTGTCTTTGGAAGAGCATATGACGGCCGTGGCCAGGGGAGCTTTTTATCAGGTTCGCCTGATATGCCAGTTGCGTCCCTTTCTGGACCGGGATGCCCTGCTCACGGTCACTCATGCCCTCGTCACGTCACGTCTGGACTACTGCAATGCTCTCTACATGGGTCTCCCCTTGAAGAGCATTCAGAGGTTCCAACTGGTCCAGAATGTGGCCGCGTGGGTGATTATGGGGGCGACTTGTCGCACCTAGGTGACACCTCTCCTGCACGAGCTGCAATGGCTCCCAGTGGTCTTCCAGGTGCGATTCAAGGTGTTGGTTACCACTTTTAAAGCGCTCCATGCCTTAGGACTGGGGTATTTACGGGACCACCTTCTGCCATTGACAGCCTCCCACCGGCCAACTTGCTCCCACAGAGGGGGCTCCTCAGGGTGCCGTCGGCCAAACAATGTCGACTGGCGATACCCAGGGGGAGAGCCTTCTCTATGGGGGCACCAGCCCTCTGGAATGAGCTGCCCCTAGATGTACATATGATCCCCGACCTGTGCACCTTTCGCCGCTCCCTGAAGACCCTTTTATTTCAACAAGCCGGGCTGGCCTAACATGAATATGAATTTTAAATGGGTGTATGTTAGTTTTAATTTGCGGGCCAAATTTTTTATATCCAATTTTAATGGTTTTTTAAATTTTGTAAATTATATGTTAATATGGCTGTACTATGTAATATGTAATATGTAATATGGCCCTGAGTCCTTCAGGAGAAGGGCGGTATAGAAATCTAATAAAAGCTAAAGCTAAAGCTAAATGTTTCTCAATATCATTTTTTTAAAAAAATAAGTCTGTCAAAAGCAAAACCACAGAGTCAAAAGGCAAATAAGATGCTTTTTTACATACAGGTAGCCCTCAAGTTACCAGCACAATTCAGCCCAAAATTTCTGTTGCTAAAAAAGACAGTTGAGATTTGCCTGATTTTTTTTTCCGGCTGTTCTTACCACAGTTGGTAAATGAATCACTGCAGGGATTAATTTAGTAACATGGTTGTTAAGTAAACCTGGCTTTCCCATTAACTTTGCAAAAAGTGGTCACATGAAGCCACGACACTGCAATCGTCAGAAATATATGCCAGTTTGCAAGTGTCCAAATCTTGATCACCTGACCACGGGGATTCTGCAACGGTCATCAAGTGTGAAAAATGGTCATAAGTCGTAACTTTGAACCACCATTAAATGAATTGTTGTAAGTCGAGGAATATTTGTACACTGATACTTTTTCTTTCCCTTAAGAGCTATCAAACAGTGCAGAGTCAGCTGAGAGCTCCGGAAGCATCCATGAGGTTTTAAAGAGTCTTGAATCTGGCATGTTGTCATCATCAGATATTACACGTCTTCGTCAAATGAAATCATTCGTCCTTCTGCAGAATGTGGAGGAACTAAATATTGCCCTGAAAGATCTCAGCACACATTCAGAGATGCCTCATGGTAGGTTGAATGCATCCAGGTTTGTTATGAGATTCCTTCTAGCATGCAGATTTCCTATAAAACTATTCTTCTCAAGCATTTTAATTTCTTTTTTTTAAAAAAATAATTTATGTTTGTTTAAATATAAAGGGCTTTTATTCAGTGTGTCTTTGCAGGACAAAATGTAAATTCTTCTCCCCCCACCCCACCCCAAACTTCAAATAAGTTCTTTGTATGGGAAAAGAGAATTTAAATCTTGAAATTGCTTTCTGGTCAGTCATGGCTTTCCATGATCTTTTTGCACAGTGTCTGTGCAGCTGCTAGATACCCCTAAAAGTGGTTCTCAAATGTAATTTATATTCTGACAGATGGGAGATATTTATTAAATAAATGACAGGAGAATAATCATCTTAAGTATATTTAATGTAGTTTAATGAAATGAAATCAAATTTAATCCTAGCCCTCCCCCTTACTTTATGGAAAAGCTCTTAGCCCAGAAATAAAATGTGCACATGGGTCTTAAACATATGGACGGGCAAGGTTTTGCTTATTACTATATAATGTATCCCCTATATGGAAGAGCATCATTGCCAGAATTCCTTTGGCTGGCATATATCAAGTTCCAATTCATGGAATGCTTGATTCTTAGCATTGAGAAAAAAAGAAAATCCCATCAGGAATGAAAAAGCTTTGTTTTATACAATGACAATAAGAGATTAAAGTTTAAAGAGAAGAAAAGGAAAAGGAAGCTGTTGTAGTTAATTTCTTAGTACATTTGTTTTAGAAGTGTAGAACATGCATATCAAGTAGGCACTACATCCCATAGCAGAGAGGAAGGAAATAATCTGCTATATGGTCACAAAGAACCCTAACTGTCATAGTTAAACATTAGAGGTATGTCTGCACCTTTGGTTCTAGTTAATATAGTCATACTTTCATTTTGTGGGACAATTCATTCATTGCATCCAGTAAACAACTACATGTGATGAAGAAATGAGAAAAGTAACAGATTCTTCTTTCAGTAAATTCATGTATTCTTAATCTCTATGCTAAATCAAGAATAAAAATATCCTACCCTCTACAATTGCAAAACTGATCAATAGAATTATGAGAGCCTGTTTGTTTTTTTAAGCATTTAAAAACTAGGAGATGGTGAGTTCTAGTTCCCCTTTAGGCCTAAAGTCAGCTGGTCCCTCCTCTCTCAGTCCAACAAGGCATGGACAAACCACTTCTAAAATGTTGCTAAGAAAAACTGTCTGAATTTTTCACCAGGAGTCTAGACTGACTTGAAGGCAGGAAAATAAAGTAAAATAAAAATTGCATTGTTAAATTGAAATAAAAATATCCTAGCTTCTATAATTGAAAAATTGATCAAAAGATACATAGACCATGTTATTTGAACTGATCCAGGGAGCTTCATTGGAACATAACATTCCATAATTTGGGTATCTAATATAATATATTATTGTGTTAGCTGTTTATTGTCATTTATCGAGATGGAATGAAAGTCTTTGAAAGGTTAATTGTTTTGATTGTTAATTTGATAGTTATGAATTTACTTCTCTTTGTTTGCTACAATTTCCATTTCCTTAAGGGAATACTAGTTAATCAGAGCCAGTTTGGTGTAGTGGTTAAGGCATCAGGCTAGAAAGCAGGAAACAGTGAGTTCAAATTCCACCTTAGCCATGAAAGCTAGCAGGCTGATCTTGGGCCAGTTACTGTCTCTGAGCCCAACCCACCTCACAGGGTTGTTGTTCTAGGGAAAATAGGAAGAGGAAGCTGTGTTAGATACGTTTACTGCTTTGAATTATTTGTAAAAATAATAAAGGTGGGACACAAATAAATAAATATATATTTCTTGTTATTAATGTTTGTATATGATATATGTATTGTTTTAATCTAATCTGTTGAAAGTTAAGAACAGAGTTATTTAAGGTACATGCATGTTAGTTGCTTTTTTACTTCAAGCTTATCTGGATTTAATAATAAAATGTAAAAAGTTGAAACTCTTTTGTTGGCATATATTTCCAGTTATTTCAGTTACATCTTTAAGTCATTTCACGAGTTTGTCCTTGGGAATACAAATGACTAAAGGTATAAGCCAGTTGCTGCTTAAAATTATAATGCAATAATTAAAACAGCTAAAAAAGTCATTACAAAATTCACAATAATTGCTTTTTTGCTTTGCTATGAAAATTAGCAAACTTTTGCAAACAAAATGTATTGTTAAACTCTTTTTTTAATGTTTATCTCCACTAAAGTTTAAAAAAAAACGGAGACAATATTTTGATGTGGAGGGAAGAATCTAGGATTTTCCAATCAGCTGTTCTACTTGAAGTAAATGGATCATTTCCCAATATATAGTTACAAGTAGTTCTCCAATTATGACAGTTCACTTAGTGATGGTTCAAAGTTATGATACCACCCCCAAGAGTATTTATGACAATCCTGATGTTACAAATGTTGCAGCTTCACAGCCGTCATTCACTCTTACGACCGACCGTAGAGACACTGCATTCTTCCCTCTGCTTATTTCCTCCCTAAGGACCTAACAGGCACTGGCCCTGCTATACTAGCCCACCAGCTCCTCCCCACCCTGTTACTGATTGCTCACTTACCTTTCAAAGATCCAGAGTTCCAGAACAAGCTGACCGCTTCTCTCTCCTCAAGCAAGTGATCTCCTCTCCAGACTTTCTGTTGCGGGGCTGCGGGGCATCGTGCTTTCTTTGCCTGCTCCGAGCACTCCAAAAGCAGAGCTGTGAGAACAGAGGCAGAGAAGGAACGAGTGTGCCCTGCTCAGCTTGGCTGACTCACTGAAGCTGCCTGTGCAGGATACCAGATCTGTTTTTGCAGCACCGGACAGCCTTAGTGAGTCTGAAGGAGCATAAGATTGCGCCCCCGAAGAGCTCTGCCCCTTTGCAAAAGCTTTTGGTGCAGAGGATAGGGGCCTGGAGAAGTGCAAGATCGTACCCCCCAAAGGCTTCTGTGCTCCTCTCCAAAAACTTTTGTAAAAGAATGAAAGGCTTCGGGGGAGTGATCTTGCGCTGCTTCAGGCCTCTGTCCTCTGCACCAAAAGCTTTTGCAGTGCCTGTGGAGACCCGGTGGGACAGAAAGTGGGGGGGAATCATTAGATATCTCAATAGATCGGGGGAAGCCTTGGGCAGTCAGATGCACTAAGCCCCCCATGGTCTTCCCCACCCTAAGATACTTCATGTGCACTCAATGACCTGCACATTCAATTAGCAAATGCATTGGGTAAAGCAGGGAGGGATCAAATTCATTTAATGTGATCCAATTAACGAATCCTCAGGTTGCAAATGTAATTGGCATGCTCTATTACATTCGTAACTAGAGGATTACCTGTATACTTAAAACTTTTTCTACGGTAAGAGCTAACAATTTCTAAGCCAACGATTGAAACTGGTGGTGTTTCTTTTCCAGTTTTTGGAAGGAGCATTATCCTTGCAGTCTGTTGCCAAGTTACTGAATCTATTTTGAATCAATTTTTTAGAATAATTTGCTTACTTAGAAAAAACGGGGACAATTTCTGACACTGAGTTATCCACTAGTTGTCCTCTTTTATGCCAGCTTTTACAGTACCACTGAGATAAATTCATGCAATTAATAGTAGCAGAAAGGCTTTAAATTCAGAGATTTATTTCTTGATAGAACTTCCCTTGATGATAGTAAATTAAAAGCCATTTTAGATACAGTGAAGCTCTCATGGGTTCAATTCAGCAAAAACAAAAGTTTGTTCCAAGATTAATTTGTAAGAAAGAATGATCTAGAACCATTGTACTTCTGAGCCAGCTAGTCAGCCGGCTAGAAATACATTGACCCAATGCATCCTGTAATGTTAGCAATAAAATATGTGGTTATCTCCGAGATTAACAAACATTTGGGGAAGGGGTTACCTGTGGATCAGTCCCACAGTTTAAGCTGCACACAGATTTCAGTTCAATTTATTTAATGTTTATTGCCATCTGAAATACAATGGATACTGAAAGAAATCTGGTGCACAAGGGACTTTATTCCATATTTGGCTATTCGTTCCTGTGAGCAAAGATGTGTGATCAATAGTTTTACAGTTTACTTCAGGGATTATAGGAAGTATATTACTTTCTCTAAATACAGCTTTGTCCTTTTATCTTTGATGGTGATAGCTGTTGCCAGTGGATTAGGAATTCATAACTTTCTTTCGTGCTTAGTATGGCAATTTTGGAAATGTAGAAGTCAAACATAGATTTCACCTCAGAATAGCTAGAGTATGGATTATTGCATCCAAGGTGGGGGGGATTATACTTCGGAGTCCTTGTCATCCATGGGAATAAGAAGGAGGAAAGTGACAATATGAACATTACGATGTAAGCTCCACACTTTTGTATGTGCAACGTGATATCACATGCACATAAAGACACGACATTTCATCATTCTGGCAAAGCAGATCCTTGTGTTTGTATCTGATCAGAGGGATGATACATGCCTTCCTTTTATTTCATCTGCATGTTATGATTTTGTATTGAATTTTATACTCCAACCCAGGGGTGTCAAACTCAATTTCATTGAGGGCCGCATCAGAGTTACGTTTGACCTCAGGAGGGCAGGGGGGACATGACCAGGGTGAGTGTGGCCAGCATGATGTCACTCATGTCACCTGTGGCAGCCCGAGTGTTCTGCCAACGAAAACGGGTTCCTGAGCTCCGTTTTCGGCCAAGACAGCCTCCTGCAACCCTCTGCTAGCAAAAATGGTGCTTGGGGAGGCTGCATGCAGCCCTCGCAACCTCAATTTTCGGCTGGGATGGTCTCCTGCAAACCTCTGCCAGTGAAAACGGAGCTCAGGAAGAGTCCCAATTTTGCTGGCAGAGGTACTGCAGGCCGGTCCTTCACTGTTTCCAGGGCGGGCCTATGAGCCAGATCTAAGCACCACCCCCCCGCCGGGCCGGATCTGTTCCCTAGGCCTTGAGTTTGATATCCTTGCTCCAATTCATCCATTAGTCTTGTGGAAATATGTTTTCCAATTC